AACAAAACAAAAAAAACTTACGTGAATTCATATGTTTTTTTAAAATTTCTATTTATGGACCTATGGAAGAAGCAGGAGAGACAGCGACAGACGAGGTACAGTAGCATATTCAACCCTGGTGCTTAATAGAATCATCTTTTAGGTCAGAGAATTGTGGCTACAGCCACCTTCTCCTTGTTCTTCATGACACGAAGAAGCTGATGCAGCCTACATCCCAGAAAATCCTCTTTTAGCCTGCTGAGAAGGGAACTATAGCAAGTCAGAGGTAAATTTATCAGAGAGAGGTGGATGGAGAAATAGGGCGTGGCAGTGCCCTTCCCGGAGCCTCCCGTGGTGAAGGTGTTGTCTGCGGAGTCGGGCGGGGCTGGACCACGTGGTGCTTCCGTTCTTCCCCTCCCCCGTCCTGCACAGTGTGCACAGTTAATGCAGTTTGCGTGGTGCTTAGCGGTGGTGTTTCGATTGCCTCTTATTCACCTGGTTGGTGAGGGAAGGATTGCCTTCTTGTATTTGTGGGGATGGCCGACACACAGCCCCTGACACCGGGCAGATGTGACTGACGGCAGTTTATGACATATTCTCAAAGCCCAGGGATGAGGACATCAGCACAGTGCAGGGACACAGGGGGTGCACTCGGGACAGTGTGAGCAGTCGGGGGGTGGGAGGCAGGCTTTGTGGTATCAAGAGGGCGGAGTGTGCCCTGGTTCACATGGAGGATGTGACTGGCTTGTTGGGATAATTCCAGGGGACAGGGAGGCAGTGTGCCTGGGTCCTTGGTAAAGCGGGCTGCTTGGGTAGGAGACCTAATCTGTGGGAGCTTTGGCCAGTGCTTAGGCCATTTCCGGCCTTCCAGATTTTACCAGATGTCAAGATAGCATGTAATATCGAGTCAATTTTAGACGTTGCACTACAGCTGTGTATCAAAGTTTACACATGCAGCTCATCATGAAGTGTCTGGAAGATATGTGACATTAGGAAGCCATAACGTGGCTCTAGTGGGAACCTATCCAGGGAGAGTGTGACCGACTTGGGAAGAATTTCTAACCTGCCCTCCACTGGGAGGTTACATTAGAACTGTGGTTCTCATCCACTGGTGTGCAGTAGAGCCCCCCAGGAGCCTGCCTCCCATGGCCAGGGAATGAGGCCCTACAGGGCTTGGTCCGGCATGCCTTCAGTTGTCTGATAGAGCTGAGGTCGAAAGTCTGTCTTCCTTTTAGGAGGCCAGGATTGAAGGGGATGAGAGCTCACATAGCAAGAGCCTCTGATTGCCTGTTGGGGCATAGCCTTCCTCCCTGCCACCCTCCTAAGCCTGCAAGAGGAAGCACCCGCTGACAAGAAAGAAGAGGATTATGAAAAGAATTAAAATTAAGGATGTAAAGGAAACATATGCATTCCATAAGATAAAGAATTTAAAAAAGAAATGTCTTCTATGAAAAAAGGTAGAATAAGAAGAACTTAAATATAAGAGAATCAAGTGTCACAGAGATAGAAGATTAAGAATTGTACAAAAGAAGTATTCAAAAATGAAGAGTACTGAGGATATAAGATTTAAAAGCACAGTTAACGCATTAAAAGAAAAACTAGAGGGGCTCCTGGGTGGCTCAGTTAAGCCTCTGACTCTTGATCTCAGCTCAGGTCTTGATCTCAGGATCGTGAGTTCAAGCCCCACGCTGGGTGTGAAGCCCACTTAAAACCAACAACAACAACAAAAGAAAAACAAAACAAAATAAAACCCAACTAGAAAACAGTATTAAAGCTATTAAAGATGCAATTTAAGGAAATAAGATTTATTCTCTGTAATGTAATGTAATGTATTATTGGCTTGGCTGATAAGTTTGTTTATAGAGTCTAGGCTTAAATAATAACCAACATTCCCAGGTACAAAGGAAGACCTCACGTCCTGTGTTTGGAACTGAAGGCGGTTTGACAAATTGAAGAAGTCACTTCAAGTGCTAAATTGTAAACACACAGAGGCCTAGAACTTTTTTACTCTAACTTAAAATATATAAACATATACTTACTGCCAGTGTTTTTGATGCAGGACAAAGACTATTTTTTAAAGAAGAGTCTAACGATTAGAGTTACCTGTTGTCTTTCTAACATAAGCATAACTCATTTGTCTGTCTAGAAAATCAGTTTTGACTTCTTTAAAACAGAGCAGAAATTTAAAGACGCTTACAAAGCAAGCTAGGTGCATAATCTCTCAGGTTTTGTGAGACCTCCCTGCCAGCCCAGCTTTTTTGACACCTCATTTGATGGTGAGTTTTTAAGGTGACTTGCATGTACTGGGTCTTTCCAAAGCATTCCATTAAGTTCACAGAGGAAAAAAAAATCCTTTCATGCTCCTATTTCATTGATTTCCACAATGTTTATTTAAATGATGTAATTACAATATGACTCTAACTTGCATGCACAAGTGTGGGAACGAACCTAACCCACCCTGGAAAATTAAGGCCTTGGCGGGTGGGAATGCCAAGCCTACGGCTTGTGAGTGCTCACTGTGCTCTGGTTATTAATCAGCATGATTTAAGGGAGGGCATAGGGATGCAGTGGAGGTTCTCAAAGTGGGGTTCCCAAAGCAGCAGCAGTAACCCCACCTGGGCACCTCTGTAAATGCAAATTTTCAGGCCTGGCCCCAGATCTCCTGAATCAGAAGCTCTGAGGTGCAGCCCAGCAAACTGTGGGCTAGCAGGCTCTTCAGGTGTTTCTGATGCCCCACGAGGCCCGAGAACCACTGCATGAGAACGTAAGTTCTAGGTACCCTGAGGTGTTGGCGGGGGGAAAGCCAGTTGCAAAAACTTCTACTGTTCGGATGCTCATCGTAAAAAGTCCATCTAACTTCAAAGACAATAATGTTTATTTTATATTAAGAACTTATATTTAGTAAACAAACAAAACCCAAATCCATAATTTTCTTTCAGTGATTGAAATGAGTTACAGGAAATAGGAGGGGGAAAGAGACCCTAGACCCAGGGAGGTCTGTAATTCAGCTTAAATTTTTTACGGACGAGGGGCGCCTGGGTGGCTCAGTCGTGAAGCGTCTGCCTTCGGCTCAGGTCATGATTCCAGGGTCCTGGGATCGAGTCCTGCATTGGGCTCCCTGCTCCTTGGGAGCCTGCTTCTCCCTCTCCCACTCCCCCTGCTTGTGTTCCCCTCTCTCGCTGTGTCTTTCTCTGTCAAATA